CTCTCTCTCTCTCTCTCTCTCTCTCTCTCTCTCTCTCTCTCTCTCTCTCTCTCTCTCTCTCTCTCTCTCTCTCTCTCTCTCTCTCTCTCTCTCTCTCTCTCTCTCTCTCTCTCTCTCTCTCTCTCTCTCTCCTCCCTTCTCTCTCTCTCTCTCTCTCTCTCTCTCTCTCTCTCTCTCTCTTTGCTTCTCTCCTATACTACCCCGTAATATCTTCCTCTGCTCGGCCCCGCCCTCCCGCTTTCACTCTTTCTCTTCGTCGCTACCTGCTTCTTCATGCTCCCCCGCCCTTCCTCAACTCGCCTACCTGATGTAAGTTGTCTCGCAGATCGTCCCTATAGAACCTCTCATCGTACAGCGGTTCATAGTCCCGCGCTCCTATGTGCACAGGCTCCCACGCCGGGTGCCACTTGCTCACGTTAAACACGCGTAGAGGTGCCGTCTGCGTAAAGACGATCAAAAAAGAAACAGACGATCAAACTGATGCACCAGCAGCGGGGGATAAAGATAGGCACGCTATATGAAAGCTCAGTAGCGGACCTAGAGGGGCGTTGGAGGGTTACAACCCCCCGTACAGCCACTGACTAATGTTACCAGGAGTAAATAATAATATTAATAACATCATTGTTCATGGTTAAATCCTTAAATTATTTACCTTGACAGTTTCAGCCATCGTTCTGACAACCATCTTCTGGAAGCCATCTTCTGGAAGATGGCTGTCAGAACGACAGCTGAAACTGTCAAGGTAAATAATTTAAGGATTTAACCATGAACAATGATGTTATTAATTAATGTTTTAAAACAAATCCGACTATGAACTTTCAAGGTAAATAATAATAGATTATTAATATAGATAATCTGTTATTATTTACTTCTGATGTTATGATACTAGTAAAATGCGGCCACCCTAGCACCGCTTGCGTTCGGCACGCCTTCACTCAAATATCAACCCCTCCGTCTCCTGAAAGTTAGATCCGGCCCTGAAGCTATGTATGGATTTGACTTCGTGCTTTCTGCAGTCGAACTGGCGGACTTGAGGAATTTTCAAAATCGGGGTTTCTTGCGTGTGACTGCATGGGGGGGGGGGTGCATCGGGTCCATGTTTATGTTAAAAATCTGACAATATCTTGATATATCTCTATACCAAATCTCGCGCTCTCTCTCTCTCTCTCTCTCTCTCTCTCTCTCTCTCTCTCTCTTTCTCTCTCTCTATCTCTCTCTATATATATATATATGTCATATATCTTATGTCTGTTTGCGTGTGCGTGCGCGCGCGCGTGTATGAGTGTGCTTGTGTGTGTGCGGGCGCGCACTCGCGCGTGTGTGTATGTGTGCGCGCGTGTGTGTGTGCGCGTGGGCGTGTATGTGTGCGCGCGTGTATGTGTGCGCGTGGGCGTGTGCGTCTACATGTATGTGCGTGCGCGCGAGTGTGTGTATGTGCGCGCGCTCGTGTATGTGTGCGCGCGTGTGTGTATGTGTGCGCGCCTGTGTGTATGTGTGCACGCGTGCGTGTGTATGTGTGTGTGTGTGTGTGTGTGTGTGCGCGCGCGTGCGTCTGTTTTATGTGTGCGCGCTCGTGCGTGTATGTGCGCGTACGTGTGTGAGTATGTGCGCGCGCATGTTTGTGTGCGCGCGCCCGTTCTTGTATGTGTGCGCGCGTGTGTGTGTGTGTATATGTGCGCGCGCTCGTTCGTGTATGTGCGCGTGCGTGTGTATGTATGCGCGCGCGCGTGTGTGTATTATATAAAGGGTTCCAGCACCTGCGATGAGTTGAGCCGCATCCATGCCTCGAAGCCGTGTATGCGCTGACACGCCCAACACTTATGCTGATGAAAGACAATCGCATCTCCAGACTCCAGCAGTCTCACCAGGTGGCGCTTGCTCGTCGGCGCCGACG